ATAACCAGGATAACAATCCAAAAGGGTCGGCATTGGTGCCTTCGACCCATAAGTATAGTGCGGAAAATTTACCTCACAATTAGTGCTGAACCGGTAAAACCCAACTCCAAAACTCAGCTCCGAACTCAAAAGCCTACAACCACCATATGACCATTTCTATCACCCACGAAATACCCAAAGTGCCCTCAAAGTTAAACTTGGTCAACCATGGTCACAGTCAAAGTCAATAGTCAAGGTCAACAGTCCATGTTGACCCAACTCATCTAGTGCACATACAAACTCGCCGACTTACTACAGTATCCAGAAAAGCGGAAAAACCCGAGCCAACTCACCGAGTTGTCATCACACAACTCGTCGAGTTTTCCCAGCTTAACTCATTCAGTTCTTTTTCATCCATTCTAATACTTAAGAATGGAGATCTGATACTCAAGAGCTGGAAAACCACATAAAGTTGCTAACTTTACGTGCATGCATGACGCCAAGAGGCTTCAACGCTCGAAGAAGGCTTAACAAGGGCTTAAAGCATAAAGGGGGGCTATAACTTGATAAAGCTTGAAGCTTTAATCCCAAAGAGGCCACAAAACATCCAGATCTAAAGTGGTAACTTCAAGAAATGCCCAATCCCAAGAATGACTCCAAAATGAGCCAAAAATGACAATAAACTTCCAAGGAGAAGATCTAAGCAATAAATGATCAAGCTATCGACTTTACCTTTAAGGCCATAAATCTCATACCTGGAAGTCAGAATGTTACAGACGAGTTGAAGGACAACTCTACGAGTTGGGTCAACTCACACCGTTATATTTAAGGAATTGTTCCTGTTTAGGGGTTGAGTAGAGTTAATATTCGAAGTCGGGACCTATTCAGCTATCATTCAGTATTCAAGGTAAGACTTCTCACTACACCTATGGGTCGAAGGCACCAAGGTCGTCCCATTAATTTTTATGTGATGAATTGTATTGGATTATGGAATTTGCTATTGATCTATATGTGGACTTATGTGTATACCACAGGAGGAGCCCATGACATTTGGAAAGACCATGGGAAGAGCCCATGGTCCGGGGACATAAGACCATGGGGGTAGCCCATGTCATTCCATTGAAGACCATGGAAGGAGTCCATGGGAAACTTATGTATATGTATGCATGGTATTATGTGATTTTATGTTTGCGTATTTGGGAAGCTCACTAAGCATGTACTTACAGTTTTATTGGATGTTTCAGGTATTTCTGGTTCTAAGGGTAAGGGCCCAGCTTGATGGCGCGTCATGCATTCTCCAATATTTCCACATCTAGTTTTTGATACTCTAATCTTTTGAAACATTATGGCTATGTAATGGGATTATTTTGGAAATAATTGTGATTGATTTTTATATTTATAAAAGTTAAATTTTTTTGTAAAATTTGGTCTGTTACACAATTTTTGATATCAACAGCAAGGGGTTATTGACTCTTCATGGACGGGTTTGGGTACCGTATGCTAGTGGGGCTCGATGGGTGTTAATGGATGAGGCCAACAACTCGAGATTCTCCATTCATCCAGGGACTATAAAGATGTATCTTGACCTGAAACATAGCTATTGGTGGCCATGTATGAAGAGGGATGTGTCATGGTTCGTGGAGCGGTGCTTGACTTGACGGAAGGTCAAGGATGAACATCCACATCCTCACACCAAGTTGCGGAAGGTCAAGGTCGAACATCAGCACCCATTAGGCAATTTGCAGCCATTGGAGGTCCTACTATGGAAGTGGGAGCAGATTATGATGGATTTCATTACAAATTTTCCGAAAACTACGAAGGGTTTTGATGCTATCTAGGTGATAGTTGATCGTTTGACGAAGAGTGCTCACTTTCTTACTATTTGTGAGAGCTCTGATACCGAGAAATTAGTCGACATTTATGTTCGAGAGGTAGTGGCTCATCATTGGGTACCGAATTCTATTGTGTCAGGCCGGGATGTTGGTTTTACTTCCAGATTTTGGAAGAGGTTGAACAAGGAGTTGGGGACCCGATTACATTTCAGTACCGTCTATCATACAGAGACAGACGATAAGAGAGAGCGTACTATTCAGACTCTAGAGGATATGCTACGGGTCTGCATCATTGATTTTGGTGGGAGCTGAGACTCCTACCTTCCTTTGGCTGAGTTTTCTTTCAGTAACAGCCATCACGCCAGCATTAACATGCCTCCCTTCAAGCTTTTGTATAGGACGAAGTACCAGACTCCTATATGTTGGGTAAAGGTCGGGTAGAGGGTCATGGGGAGCACTGAGATAGTGATTAAGACGATAGAGCTTATCCAGCAGATTAGTCAAAGGTTTTTGATGACCTAGTGTCGTCAGAAAAGTTTTTAGGAAGCGGGGCAAGCTGGGACACAAGTTGGAGTTTCAGGTTGGAGATTTGGTGATCCTGAAGATATCACATTGGAAAGGTTTTATCCGATTTAGGAAGCCGGGCAAGCTAGGCCCCAAGTTTATTGGTCCTTTTAGGGTGATAGCCCGATTGGGCAAGGTGGCATACCGGTTAGAGTTGTTTATGGAATAGAGTCAGATTCATGACACCTTCCATGTTTCCCGGTTGACGAAGTATGTATTCGATGAGACATATGTGATGCCTTTGGAGGACATTCAAGTCGATGGTCGCCGGAATTACATTAAGAGACCAACGATGATTCTGGATAGGAAGGTGAAGACCTTGAGGAACAAGGTAGTGAACCTGGTCAAAGTTCAGTGGGAACATCGAAAAGGCTCTGAGTGGACTTGGGAGCCCGAGGTTGAGATGCGTGAGCATTACCCTGATCTGTTCGTAGTGCCTGAATTCAAAGGCGAAGTATGATTCTAGTAAGGGAGAATTCTAACAATTGTTTCCAAGTAAATTCCCTTCCAACCCTTAGTATTTAATTTTTGTGCATTTAAGGCCCTTGCGATGGGCATACAAGGTTGTACGTCGACTGTAAGTCAGTAGGCGGTGAGACGTTAATGTTGGATTACGTTGGGCGTACATGTGAGTATGTCAAGCGTACTTGTGCAGCCCTTTAACCCTACTAGAAAAATAGGCTTTTACAAAGCGCAATTTATGATACGAATCGATTTACGATACGCAAAAGTGTGTGACCTAAAAATAATGTCATCTCTCTATAAATTTTAAGGATTTAGGACGCGCATTTTTTTTGTGCCCTTAAATTAGTGTCTAAATAAAAAAAACACGGAGGGCGCCTATAATAAAATGTGTGTCGTCTGAAGATGTTGCTTTATAAATTTTAATGGAAACACGCGTTCCATCCTTTAATAGCTAGAAGGGCATGGGGGGGGGGGGGGAATGAAATCCTAAAAGACTAAAAACCCCGCCTTCCTTTTTATTCCTTTCCCTCTTTCCCTATTTATTGACGCTCCTTCCTTCCCCCTCCCGACATTGACTGCCGCCTACTTCTTCCCTTGCACTTCGACCATCATTACTTGTCATTCCCGGTCGTCGACGTCAATCAACGCAAGCACGCCACCAGTCGACAACCATCACTCTCTCCTTCCCCTTTTCTCTGTAAACCCTAATCCACCTCAACCACTACCGAATCTACCTCAACTCACCTCTGACCTTGGCTCATCTCTTTCTGCCAGCGACCACGGGCTCACTTCACCTTACAAGAGACTGCAACGATTGCTCAAGTTTACAAGCCCTAGGTTAGATTAATATTGAAGTTGAGTATGATTCTAATGAGATGATCGGTTTCCCTAGTCGCGTTTTCATGAAGAAATTTCCCACATGCACACCAGATCTTCGAATTGTTTCAGAATGGGACAACCCACGTGTGATTTACGCTAAAAAAACTCAACTTTTGTAGGTGTCTCAACCTCCCTGTGTTCGAAATAGATGGTGAAACATGCTTGGGTGTTGTTGAGGTGGTGACGACTTCCCAGAAAGTCAACCTCCGGGATGAACTCGAAAACATATGTAAAGCTCAAAAGGTCTCTTTCTATCTTCTTTTCTATTAAGATTTCTGCATTTCTGGCTTGATCGTGTTAGGTTCAGTTCATTTACATCATGTTTTTAACTTTCTATGGCTCAGAACACCCTGTAGTTCACCATCGTGGTGAAAAATTCTATTTTTTTATTTTTTTATTTTTTCGTTTGTTAAATGAGTTGATTTCTTGGTTCAATATTTTCTTAATCGACTTTTGGTTGCAGGCTGTTGATCTAAGGAGTTCGGAGTTCTTGGTCCATCCAAAGCAAAAGGTAGGAATGTTGTAAGAAACTCAACAATGAAAGTACATTAAGTTCAACCCTTTTTTCATATCTCGTGTATGTTTCTGTTTATCAGGATTTTAGTGAACCATATGATGTTATACATCACGCAACATGGCAATTTTAAGGGCATTTAAGGTATTATACTACTTATATACTTGCAGTATGGGTTGAAACCTGTAACTTTACTTGAAAGAGTTTTCTTACAAACACACAAAAGAGATTTTTTACACGCATACACCTCTCATTTCAAGTTGAAACAAATCTATCTATCCCTCTCTCTCTCTCTCATCCACACATAAAACTGAAAGAAGCACAACCACTGGTGTCGGTGGTTGTGGTAATTGGGACAGAAGGAATGAAGTAAATTGTTAGCATGTAGCAATCAAGCAAAGTTTTTGCAATTTATTGGTATAGACTATAGAGGTGTGTATAATGTGAATCAATGACATGAGTTCTGAAGCAATCAATCAAGTGAAATTTACGCATCTCCTGAGATGGTTTATCCATTTACACTAGTTTTTCCAAACCCCCTGCCTTCAAACACGATCCTTTCACTCCTGCAGAAGATGAAGATTCCAAACCTAAAACCAAATCTCGGATCGATAACAAGACAGAAGAAGAACTCAAAGATTTAGAAGATGATCTTGATGACAATCGTTTCCTATAAGAATACAGGTACTTTCAACTCCCTCAATCCTAATCTCATTTTATAAGGGCATTAAACTTCATGTGATATTTTCATGGTTTCATTTTCTTTTATGTTCTTGAAGGAGAAAGAGGTTAGCAGAGGTGAAGCAAACAGTGAAAGTTGCAAAGTTTTGGTCAGTCATTCCCATTCAGGATCCGATTTTGTGTGTGAGGTATCACAACCTCCATCTGATGTGTGGGTGGTTGTTATTCTATGGAAAGATGGGTAATCACTAATTCACTGCTATCTTGTTTGTTATTGATTAGCCATTGATTTTGATTATATGGTTGTTAATGGGAACTTGTGATTGAATAGGTACCCAGAGTGTGGAGTTCTAATGTAGTGTGTGGAAGAACTGGCAACAATGAAGGTCAGTTTTATAACACATGCAAATAAAGGTCATTTTTATAACACATTTTCTTTATTTCAGCTTTTATGATTGATTTCATTTCATTATCTTTTAATCATTTGTTATTAATTTTCAGACTTCTTATTGATTGTATTGAAGGACATTCTCCCACGTCGTAGGGATTTGACATTGATACTCTTGAGTGCTACATTGAATGCTGAGCTTTTTTCCAATTATTTTCAAGAAGCACCCATGATTCATATTCATGTAAGTGCTTTTGTTATCTTGTTATGTTCTACAATAATCTAATTTCATGTGTTTGAATATAGGGGTTCACTCACCCAGTGAGGGCACATTTCTTAGAAGATATACTGGAGATAATTGGTTATAAATTAACTTCTTTCAACCAAATTGATGATTGTGGTCAAGAAAAGTTATGGAAAACACAAAGACAGTTAGTCCCACGCAAAAGGAAAAACGAAATTACATCACTTGTTGAGTTATGGGTACTGTTATTCAGGACATGCAGTGTTTCCTAATACATATACATCAATGGAAAAAAGAAGTCAATTTCCTATGGTACTCTTAGCCAGGTATGCTAATTTTATCACCCCAGCTACTTTTTCTTTTACATGGTAAAACACAAGTTTATTAAATTTTTATGGGCAGCTTTGGGAGTTGTGTTGTTCTTTATGTTGTAGTGGCTATAATGGGATACATGATGTTTGGTGAATCAAAAGAATCACAATATACCCTAAACCTCCCCACAAATTTGATTGCCTCTAAAGTTGCTGTCTGGACTACGGTATTTAATTTAACTTGAAAAACATTATCAGAGTTTTGTTTTTAAAAAAAAAATCTTATTTCCTCTGGATTTATTTATTGTTTTGTAGGTGGTCAACCCATTTACCAAATATATGTTAACCATATCTCCTGTAGCTATGAGTCTTGAGGAGTTGATACCATCAAACCATATGAAGTCTCATGTGTACTCCATCCTCATTAGAACAACATTAGTTTTCTCTACTTTGCTTGTAGCCCTCTCCATCCCCTTCTTGGTAACTTCAATTTCCACATCCCATACTCACAACTTTGTTTCACTGTAATGCAGGGGAACCTCTTTTATACAGTTCCACCTGGGACGATTGAGGCCTACAAGAAAGCAATTGAATCTCATTTGCTTCCGTTTGAGGTAAATATGGGTGAAAAGTAAAGTATATTGTCCATATTGGTAAAAATAGAAATGTATGTTGCTATTTCTTTCTCAATGATATTTGTTTCGAATCTCCTTTAGAAAACTGGAAAGAGCATGCAAGAGGAAGTGGATACATCTGGCTATGATGCTGTTGCAGGTATTATAAGATTTAGTATTAATTGTTCAAAACTTGTTAATATATTAGTTAAAGTTGTAATCATTAAGTCTTTGAATTTCATGAAAATGCATTTGAAGAGGAAGAAGAAGAAACAAACACATATTTACTCGAGTCTTTTTTTTATTATGTTCTACTTGTTTTGACTTTTAATCTTGGTTTATGGTGTTTCAGGGATCCACATTTGACCACCGATGGCAACTTGATTCTAATTTTAAAAGTGGCCAGGTAAAATTCCAACATTTAAAAAAAAAACGATTTGTTGTAGAGTGATATCGTAAGATTAAACATGTTGATATACAAATGCAGAAGGATCACTCAAGAAGGAGACTGGATGCACATCAGTTTGATTCGAATGGAAGCAGTGGTATCTCATATAGTTTAAATTTGGAAAACTATTTAACTGTTGATACATTTATTAGATAATTTATTTAACAATCATACTCACTTACAGTGGCGTCTCAATTGAGTAATATGTCCAATCCAAATAAGATCATGAAATTACTAGTGTGTGATTGTGATCGTGGAAGGAAAGCCAAAGCACTTAAGGTATTATTAACTAATTCATTGCTTTTAATTACACTCTAAATTCCTATTGTATGTCAATATGGATTAATTGAAAAGTCAACTCTACAGACCCCTGTTGGGCAGCCAGGGTCAGGAAGTCCATGGTCGTTATTTGAAGACCAGGTCAAACGTTTTTTCACTAAATTTTTATGTATTATATTTGTTGAGAAATTAGTGTTGTTTATAAAATGTGTATTGTCTCCTCAGGCACTTGTTGTGTTGGTTCATGACATGGGTCCAAACTGGGAGCTTATAAGTGATGTCATTAACAGCACTTTGCAATTCAAGGTAACTATCATATTTGTTGTGTTGTGTTGGTTCATGATGTACATCATTCAACCCCAGACCGTATTTCAAGTTATTCATTGATTGGCTGCTTGACCTTAGTACCCTTGATCCGGTTTTTGAAGGTGCAAACTTTCAGGTGGGTATTCACTTTTCTCTTTTCTCTATCATATCATCTTGTATTGTATTGCATGTTAAGTTACCGATTTTCCCTGTGCAGGTTCTAACAGCTCTAGCAACCTCCTTCCATGCCCTGCAGCCTCTCAAAGTTCCTGCATTCAGGTTATTCTCTTAGAAAGGAAATTTTCAAAGGAGATTGTCAAAGGAGAATTTAGTCATGGGTTTCTTTTAATGTTTTACATGTTTTGTTTTCTATAATAAATATTATGTAATATTAGCAATGTGTTACATTTACTTAGTATTGGAATGATTATTTGTATTTGACATATTAGTGCAATGAATTATCTTTATTGTTTATAGTATTTTATTTTGTATTATGAGACTTTTAATGTGTTATTTAATTTGAAAATTAGTAAATCTATCAAAAATATATAATTTTAAAAACATTTAAAATTATGACACGCAAAAATGCATGTCGTCTTCCTTTATGACATTGGCTTCCTTGATACGCATTGTGTGTCATAAAGACGCGCGTCGTAAGGTTACAACACACAAATGCGTGTCGTGTTCCTTTATGACAGGGCCTTCCTTGATACGCATTGCGTGTCATAACTGCGCGTTGTAAATGTGTGTCATAAATGCGCGTCGTAAATAGACGACGCGCAAAAACGCGTCGTCTCACGTTATGACATGGCCTTCCTTGACACACATTTGCGCGTCGTCTGAGCGTTTTACGACACACATTGCGCGTCGTAAAAAGCTATTTTTCTAGTAGTGTAACCCTAAAATTTTAGGGTTATGACTCCTATTTAAGCATCCTAATCCCATTGGACCTCCTTCTGATGAGCCTCCATCGCTCTAAACTCTAATATCGAAACTCTATCCCTTTAGAGTGAGATTTGAAGCTTGTGAGTGATTTTTGAGTATTCTTGGCAATGAAGGAAGATCATTCAAGAGGTGGTGTTGCATTCAAGATTTTGGATCCACAATCTACATCTCCTTGTTCATCTTTTCAAGGCATAAAGTTCATAACTTGGAGCTTCTTTTGTTAGATCGCTTTTAGATGTTTTAGGTTTATTTCATCCTAAGACCTTGATTTCCGTGAGTATGGAATACTCCAAAGCATATGAGCTGTCCTTTTAGACGTTTTAGGGTGCTTACACTCATAAAAAGGTTAGCTTGGTCCTTTCCTTTCTTTCATGCATGTGTTATGGAGCTTTTGGTGATGCAAGAAGTTTGGGTTTTGGGATTAAGATCTCTTTATCCACACAAAGCCATAAAACCAGGGACTTTCTGGTTTAGGAAGTCTTTTTAAAAATGGAGTTTTGGGATCAGCTGCATAAACCGAGTGTAATCCTGGCTGCGCCTAGCGTAGCTAATTGTTGGGGTGCAAAGTTCTTCATGTATGACTTTGTAATGGTTTGAGTCTTGTAGACCCACTAACATGTGGTGCCTTAGCCTTTAGTCTCATGAGTTAGTGAGAGTGAGAGAGAGACATGTAAACACCTCTATATAAGGTGGGTTTGTCCACTTGTAGAGGTGTGTTTGAGAGATGTAAAGTTTGAGTGTGTGAGTGTGTGTTATTTATGTAGATGTAGATCTATGTCCCTTTTTGTAACACAATACATATTCAATACATCTCTTGAACACCCAAATCACCATGTTCATTGTGCAAACTTTAATTCCGCATGCCAAACCATGTTCTTTGTCACTACAATTGGTATCAGAGCGGGTCTTCAAGATCAAGGTGATTTTTGAAGAACGATTCTCGGTTTGGCAACATTTGTCGCAATTTGAACAATTTTGGTGAGTCTCTCTCTATGATCTCTCTTAATCTCATTGAAATCGTGCGTTGCGTTCTTGATTTTTGATCGTTTGACTCGTTGGATCAAATTTTTCTTGAAAAACCCCTTTGTGTGATCCAATAATTTTTTGATTAGATCAAGCCAACCAAAATCAAAATCAATTTTACTATTCATTAATGGAGCCCAAAGTTTGTTTAAAATTTGATATAAATGTTATCTTTTACTGTTCATCGGATTGATTCAAAGCCCAATTTGTTTCCGATACCTGATTCCTAATATCAATGGTATTTTTATTCGTCTAATTGATAAGCCCAAAGTACCGATTGTTACTGTTCAGGTTTGTGAGCCCAAAATTCATTTACATCATATGATCAATAAGACTTGTTCCAGATCTAGTCGGACGCATCAAATGGTTGTACGTTTGAATTCATTCGCATCTGTTCTTTCTTCTTAATCCATAACCCATGATTTTTCTTCTCGTTTTCTCGATAATATTGTTTGCTTTCTTTTGTTTAAATTTGATCAATAATCTGATAATGTGTTTTGATTTCATCGGATTTGGAACATGATGAAATCGGGTTTATATAAGTTCAAATGAAGAAATAATCAAAATTAATTCTTGATTTTGATGAACTTGTATAAAGAACACATGAATATGATGCGGATCTGTTCAATAATCATATTTCGATCCATAATTTGGTGTGTGAATCATTAATTTGCTGTTTGATAATCTCTGATGTCGAAAAAGTCAAAATGAAGAAAAGTCAAACTTAGCTTAGAATCGATAAACCGATGAATTGGATGTCAAAATCGTTTGTTAAAAGATGGCTATGGACTATTGATGTCGACATCATACTTGATGTGGGGTTTAATATCAAAAATTGTATGATTTGAAGTTTTTGGTGTCGATTACTGTGAATGGAATCGATGGATGAGCAGATTTTTGTTTTGGGTTCGTCATCTTAGCAATGGGAATGGATTTTGTAATTGAAAGTATTGATTTTGATATCTTGATTTCGAAAGGTTGATTTTCGTATGATCATTGACACCGATTGGGTTGGGAAGAAGAAACCGATAGCAAAGAATAAAATGACTTTTGCAGTTAATCTTGGTGATGTTTGGGTATTAATAATCAAATGATAAGAAATTGGGATTATCGACAAGTGAAGAACAAAGGATGAACTGGGTTAATGTACGAAGGATCTTTGTGTTTGGATTTTGAAGCTTAGATGGATCGATTGTCGATGATTTTGGAATTGGGGAGTATTGTTCGAATATTTGGAGTCGATGGGTTGAACTGAGAAACAAACGAAAAATGATCGACTATGATTTGGTGAATAAGATTCGAAGGGAACAGATGGGTGAATGTACGAAGCGTTCCTGTGTTATGGATTGATGATTTGGGGAAGAACTGTAAGGAACGAAGGGTGATCTGAATGTACGAAGGGTTACTGTTCATATATCAGGCTTCGAACGCTTCGCATTCGTGTGTTTGGGAAAAATTTTGGGAAGAGGAGAGAAAATTAAAAATTCGTGCATTTGGGTGAAAAAAAAAATTTAGCGTAGCTAATTATGAGCCCGATCCTTTCATGCCTTGCGCTCTACGCCCAACGTAGTGTTGGGTACGTTGTACGTATGGCCACATGTTGACTTTCGTTGAATTTATGACCATTGTGCCTTAGGTAGATTTGTGAGGGATTTAAAGGGGAAAAAACGTATTTTGTCCTAAATGTGGATTAGACTTGTCTTGGGATTTGTGGAGTATGGAAAATTACCTTAATTATTAATTAGGGTTAATTGGTGTAATTATTAGGCGAAGTCTAGTTCCGACAGTTCGGGTGAAAGTATTGATTTTGATATCTTGATTTCGAAAGGTTGATTTTCGTATGATCATTGACACCGATTGGGTTTGGAAGAAGAAACCGATAGCAAAGAATAAAATGACTTTTGCAGTTAATCTTGGTGATGTTTGGGTATTAATAATCAAATGATAAGAAATTGGGATTATCGACAAGTGAAGAACAAAGGATGAACTGGTTTAATGTACGAAGGATCTTTGTGTTTGGATTTTGAAGCTTAGATGGATCGATTGTCGATGATTTTGGAATTGGGGAGTATTGTTCGAATATTTGGAGTCGATGGGTTGAACTGAGAAACAAACGAAAAATGATCGACTATGATTTGGTGAATAAGATTCGAAGGGAACAGATGGGTGAATGTACGAAGCGTTCCTGTGTTATGGATTGATGATTTGGGGAAGAACTGTAAGGAACGAAGGGTGATCTGAATGTACGAAGGGTTACTGTTCATTACTGTTCATATATCAGGCTTCGAACGCTTCGCATTCGTGTGTTTGGGAAAAATTTTGGAAAGAGGAGAGAAAATTAAAAATTCGTGCATTTGGGTGAAAAAAAAATTTTGCGTAGCTAATTATGAGCCCTATCCTTTCATGCCTTGCGCTCTACGCCCAACGTAGTGTTGGGTACGTTGTACGTATGGCCACATGTTGACTTTCGTTGAATTTTTGACCATTGTGCCTTAGGTAGATTTGTGAGGGATTTAAATGGGAAAAAACGTATTTTGTCCTAAATGTGGATTAGACTTGTCTTGGGATTAGTGGAGTATGGAAAATTACCTTAATTATTAATTAGGGTTAATTGGTGTAATTATTAGGCGAAGTCTAGTTCCGACAGTTCGGGTGTGAGTTTTATCAGTCATCTCTGTAAGGTGAATCTCCTCACTAATGTTAACTATGTGGTAGAATATATTTATATTTGTGATGACTTACTGGGTCTATGTGTTATTACTATGATATGTGTTACAGTGTGTGCTGAGACTTCATGTAGTCTCCAGGGTTGCTAATAACTCACCAAGCGTGTTGTTGTCCACTGAGACTACAGGTAGTCTCTAGGGTTGCTGATAACCCATAGTTGCTTATTTTGTGATGTGTTGTATGTGGTATTTTGGGGAACTGATTAAGCTTCGTGCTTACAGTTGTTGATTAAATTGTGTTTCAGGTACTTCTGAGGATCATGGAAAGGCAGAAGCTTGATTGTACACATTCGCATGTAGTTTATGATTTCGAATATTTTGGGACACTCTGATATTTTGGATGATGATCTGTATTTGACATTGTGATTCTCTTGAAATGGTGTTTATGAAAAATGTTTTTAAATGAAATTAAAAATGAAAATTTTGGTTTAAAATTTTGGATGTTAGAGCGCATCTTGCATGATGATGACACAAGCATTAATTACGAATAATTTAATATATAATGATTAAAGATTAAATATTAAAAATGAAAATTTTGGTTTGAAAGTTTTATTTTAATTTTGGATGTTAAATTAAAGTGGCATTGATAAAAAGTTTAATACGATAATTTAATTTATAATTGATTAAATATCAAAATTAAACAA